AGGGGGCCCTTAGAAGGGGGCCCCCAGAAAGGGGCCCCTAGAAGGGGGCCCCTAGAAGGGTGCCCCTAGAAGGGGGCCCCCAGAAAGGCGCCCCTAGAAGGGGGCCCCTAGAAGGGGGCCCCACCCTAGAAGGGGGCCCCTAGAAGGGGGCCCCCATAGAGGGGCCCCTAGAAGGGGCCCCCTAGAGGGGGGCCCCTAGAAAAGGCTCCCAGAGAGGGGCCCTCCAGAAAGGGGGCCCCCAAATAGGCTCCCTAAAAGGGGGGCCCCCAGAGGGGGCCCTCTTTAAAGAGGGGGGGCCCCTTAGAGGGGCCCCTAGAGAGGGGCCCCCTTAGAGAGGGGCCCCTTAGGGGGGCCCCCTTAGAGGGGCCCCCAGCAGTTGGGTTTAAACGCGTAGACTAGAGGCTGCACCACCATGCTGCTGGTACTGCTGCTGCTGCTGCTGCTGCTAATAATGTTGCTGCTGCTGCTGCTGCTGCTAATAATGCTGCTGCTGCTGCTGCTGCTGCTAATAATGCTGCTGCTGCTGCTGCTGCGGCCCCTAAACGCCTAGAGGGGCCCCTGGGGGCCCTTGGGGGCCCCCCGGGGCCCCCCGGGGCCCCCAGGGGCCCCTAGGGGCCCCCTCTCTCTTTTATTACTTTGGGGGAGGCTACTTGCACTATGTGCCGCTAAAGTCGGGTACAGAGGGGCTAGGGTTTAGGGTTTAGGGTTTAGGGTTTAGGGTTTAGGGTTTGGCTTTTCGTCTGCGAGGTCTTCTTCGGTGATAAACCCTAGGCGCTTCCATTCGGCCAACCTGAAGACAAATAAACAAATAAATAAATAAATAAATAAATAAATAAATAAATAAATAAATAATAAATAAATAAATAAATAAATAAATAAATAATAAATAAATAAATAAATAGAATTTATGTTCGAAAGAAATGATTTGCGGAGCGGGGCAAAGAAATGAATACAAATGAAGTAATAAACATCAGCAGCAGCAGGAGCAGCAGCAACAGCAGCAGCAGCAACAGGAGCAGCAGCAACAGCAGAAACAGCAGGACCAGCAGCAGCAGCAGCACAAGGAGAAACAGCAGCAGCAGCAGCACAAGAAGAAACAGCAGCAGCAGCAGTAGCAGCAGCAGCAGCAGCAGCAACAGCAGAAACAGCAGGACCAGCAGCAGCAGCAGCACAAGGAGAAACAGCAGCAGCAGCAGCAGCACAAGAAGAAACAGCAGCAGCAGCAGCAGCACAAGAAGCAGCAGCAGCAGCAGCAGCAGCAGCAGCAGCAGCACGAAAAGAGGAGCAGCAGCTTAAATAGAAGCAGCAGCAGCAGCAGCAGCAGGAAAGGAGAAGCAACAGCTTAAATAGAAGCAGCAGCTGCTGCAGCAGAAGCAGCAGATCAATTAGTAGCAGCAGCAGCAGCGTCGCCACCAGCTTAAATAGACACAACTGCAGCAGCAGCAGCAGCAGCAGCAGCGTGAGTAGAAGCAGCAGCAGCAGCAGCAGCCACAGCTGTTCTATGATGTCCACTTTTACACTGCTTTCTACTGCTGCTGCTGCTGCTGTTGCTGCTGCTGTTGCTGCTGCTATTCGCAGCTGCTGCTACATTCGCTGCTGGTGTTTTTGCTGCTGCTGCTGTCTCCGCTGTCGGTGCTGCTCCCGCTGCTGCTCCTGCTGCTGCTCCCGCTGCTGCTGTTGCGGCAGCAGCTGTGCTGCAGCAGCTGCTGCTGGCGCTCCCGCTGCTGCTGCTGTTGCTGCTGGAGTTGCTGCTGCATTTGCTGCTGCTGGTGCTGCTGCGGTTGCTACTGCTGCGGCTGCAGCCGTCGCTGCTGTGCTGCTGCTGCTGCTGCTGCTGCTGCTGCTGCTGCTTCGAATTAGAGTTATTTTAAAGTTTTATTTCAATTTAAAAAACAAATTAATTCAATTTGAGTTAAACTGACTGACATTGGGCCGCCCCCTTTCTATGATGAAGATGTAGCGCAGCGCCGACCGCAGGAAACCCATTTCTAGGGTTTAGGGTTTAGGGTTTAGGGTTTAGGGTTTAGCCGGCTCGGAAGCAGCAAAAAGCAAACAAAATAAAAACAATTCATTAAAAAATAAAACAGGAAACAAAAGTGAATAAAGAAGACAAAAAAGGGCACAAAAAACCCAAAATCTCCCAGGGGGGCCCCCAGGGGGCCCCCGGGGGGCCCCCAGGGGGGCCCCCAGGGGGGCCCCCGGGGGGCGCCCTGAAAGGGTGTTGCTGCAGAATAAGAAAACAAATGAATTTTAAAATCATTTTATTTATTATTTTTTATAATTAATTAATTTATTTATTATTTATTTGTTTATTTATTTATTTGTTTATTATTTATTTATTTATTTATTTATTTATTTATTTATTTATTTTTGTTTTTTGTTTTTCTCGCTTTCTGCACTTCAACTCCAAATGGCCCTGCGGCGCCTGCGTGTCCGCCAAATGCAGCTCCAACCCTAAACCCTAAACCCTAAACCCTAAACCCTAAACCCTAAACCCTAAACCCTAAACCCTAGACACTGGGCACCCCCAATAAGGATTTCACCTTCTCCCTTCAGTTGCGAAAAATGAGCAAACTTGTCAGCTAGCTGGCAGCAGCTAGCCATGGCTAGCTGTGGCTAGCTGTGGCTAGCTATGGCTAGCTGTGGCTAGCTGCGGCTAGCTGTGGCTAGCTGTGGCTAGCTGGCAGCTAGCTTTGACAAGCTGTAGCTAGCTGTAGCTAGCTGTGGCTAGCCTTGGCTAGCTGCAGCTAGCCGTGGTCAGCTGTAGCTAGCTGTAGCTAGCAGTAGCTAGCAGTAGCTAGCTGTAGCTAGCAGTAGCTAGCAGTAGCTAGCTGTAGCTAGCTAGCTGTAGCTAGCTAGCTGTCGCCAGCTAGCTGTAGCTAGCTGCAGTTAGATAGGGCTGGCCGTCGGTAGCTCCAGCTAGCTTGAGCCAGCTAGCTGTGGCTAGCTGCAGCTAGCTAGCTGAAGCTAGCTACCCGTAGCTAGCTAGCTACCTGTAGCTAGCTAGATACCTGTAGCTAGCTAGCTGTATCTAGCTAGCTAACTGTAGCTAGCTAAATACCTGTAGCTAGCTAGCTTTGAGCAAACTTGTCAGCTAGCTGGCAGCAGCTAGCCATGGCTAGCTGTGGCTAGCTGTGGCTAGCTATGGCTAGCTGTGGCTAGCTGCGGCTAGCTGTGGCTAGCTGTGGCTAGCTGGCAGCTAGCTTTGACAAGCTGTAGCTAGCTGTAGCTAGCTGTGGCTAGCCTTGGCTAGCTGCAGCTAGCCGTGGTCAGCTGTAGCTAGCTGTAGCTAGCAGTAGCTAGCAGTAGCTAGCTGTAGCTAGCAGTAGCTAGCAGTAGCTAGCTGTAGCTAGCTAGCTGTAGCTAGCTAGCTGTCGCCAGCTAGCTGTAGCTAGCTGCAGTTAGATAGGGCTGGCCGTAGGTAGCTCCAGCTAGCTTGAGCCAGCTAGCTGTGGCCAGCTGCAGCTAGCTAGCTGAAGCTAGCTACCCGTAGCTAGCTAGCTACCTGTAGCTAGCTAGATACCTATAGCTAGCTAGCTGTATCTAGCTAGCTAACTGTAGCTAGCTAAATACCTGTAGCTAGCTAGCTGTAGCTAGCTAGCCAAATCCAGCTAGCTAGCTAACTGTAGCTAGCTAGCTAACTGTAGCTAGCTAGCTAGTTAGCTAGCTAGCTAGCTAACTGTAGCTAGCTAGCTAGCTAGCTAGCTAGCTAACTGTAGCTAGCTAGCTAACTTCAGCTAGCTAGCTAGCTAGCTAGCTGCAGCTAGCTGTGGCTAGCTGGAGCGCGGTGTGCATGTCTTTGGCGATTTGGACTTGGGAGAAGTTGAAGGAAAGGCGAAGCGACTCGATGAGGCTTTTTGCTGCTGCTGAAATCAGAGGGTCGAACGGGTCCCCCACCAGCTGCTGCTGCTGCTGCTGCTGCTGCTGCTGCTGCTGTTGCTGCTGCTGCTGCTGTTGCTGCTGCTGCTGCTGCTGCCCTTGCTCGGGCTCCTGTTTCGGCCCCTGCTGCTGCAGCTGCGTGTCTTGCTGCTTCAGCGGCGTCTCTCGCTGCTTCGGCCGCGCCTCTTGCTGCTGCTGCTGCTGCTGCTGCTGCTGCTGCTGCTGCTGTTGCTGCTGCTGCTGCAGCAGCAGCAGCCACTGCCTGGCGTTGGTGGTCCTTTTGCTTCTGAGGCCGCAAGGAATAATTAATTTGAAATATTTGTCGGAGTTCGAAATGTTAATGGCCAGGCCGTGGAAGCTGACCCACCGCCGCAGCCGCACTCCCACTGCTGCTATTTTTGCTGCTGCTGCTGCTGCTGCTGCTGCTGCTGCTGCTGCTGCTGCTGCTGGTGCTGCTGCGCCTGCTGCTGCTGGCGCTGCTGCGCCTCCTGCCCATACACCCGGCATCCCCGCGTGTCTGCGCAGCAGCAGCTCCGGCTCGCACAAATACTCCATATCGTCCTGCTGCTGCTGCTGCTGCTGCTGCTGCTGCTGCTGCTGTTGCTGCTGCTGCTGCTGCTGCGGTTGCTGCTGCACCGCATGCTGGATCCCCCCTGGCTGTTGCGGCCCTTGCCTTCCTCCGTGTTGCGCCGGCAGCAGCAGGGAGGCCCCCTGCGCCTGCTGCTGCCGCTGCTGCCCTTGTTGCTGCTGCTGCTGCTGCTGCTGCTGCTGCAGCCAGAGACTGCGGAGTGCTGCTGCTGCTGCTGCTTCGAGGCTGCTGATGAAGGCCCGCACATCCGCGCGGTGTCTCCGCAGGTCGAAGAGCGGATACAGCAGCAGCTGCCCAGGCCCGTGCCAGGTCACTTCGCCGCCCCGCTCCACCCGGTGAACTGCTGCTGCTGCTGCTGCTGCTGCTGCTGCTGCTGCTGCTGGTGCTGCTGCTGGTGCTGCTGCTGCGGATGGTGGGGGTGGCGGGGGTGGCGGTGCTGCTGCTGGGGATGGCTGGGATGCGGCGGTGGCGAGTGGTGGCGGTGCTGTTGCTGCTGCTGCTGCTGCTGCTGCTGCTGCTGCGTCGGCTTCTG